GGCGGCCCGGTCCCCGCGCGCGGGCCGCGCGCCCCTAACCTGAACCCCAACCCCCTCATCAACGTGCGCGACCGGCTCTTCCACGCGCTGTTCTTCAAAATGGCTGTCACCTACTCGCGGCTCTTCCCGCCCGCCTTCCGCCGCCTCTTCGAGTTCTTCGTGCTGCTCAAGGTGACCGACCCCCGACCCCTGACCCCCGACCCCTGACCCCGGCGGCCTGCCCCCCACGCCTGGGTCGGGCCGGCCCTCTGGGGTCCTGATGGCTGCGACCTCTGACCCGGGGTGTTTCGGACGCGGTGCCGCCCTGGGCTGTCCGTCTCGGAAGCCCGAGGGGACCCTGTCACCGGTCGCTGCCCCGCCTTCCCCTGCCCGCGCCGGGCCCCCCCGCCGCCCTCCGACCGTGACCGTCCGCTCTGGCTCTGTCCCTAGCTGTGGGCCTCAGGCGGCGCCCGGGCTCCCCGGGAAGGAGGGCGCTGGGGCCACCGCGCTGGAGAAGCGCTGGCCGGCCGCCTGCATTCTGGGTCTCCCACCTGGAAAAGTGGCTGGGCACGGGGACGCCGATGCCGCTGGGCGAGCTTTTGCTTCCTTGTCTGCTGAGAGGGACGGGGCCAGTGAGTGCAGCTCCTGCTTTTGGGGTTCCGTGGAAGGAGCTATAGCCTGACCATTGGACAGACCTGGCGTGGGTCCTGGCCCCCGCCGCAGCCCCGGGGAGAGCCTCCTGGGGCCTGCAGTCGCTGTTACGGGGACCTGACGCGTCCCGGCGGGGGCTTGGCCTGTCTTCCTTCCCGTAGCCCCCAGAAGAGCTTGGTCATTTGCGCATCGTGTGGAGGGTTGTGGAGTCAGGGGTCCTTCATCCGGGTCCCTGGGGTTTTCAGGCGGTCTGACCTTGTGGACAGAAGCCGTCTGTGGGTGTGTTTTCCCTGGGACACTGCCTGCGTTCTGAAAGAAGCCACTGTGCCCCAGCCGGAGCTTGTCACTGCAAGCGCTGTGCCCAGTGATTGCTTCTCCTGCAGGTGCTTCCCGGTGGCCTCTGCCCTGGCCCCGCTGCTTCCTGCCTTGGGAATGACAAGCGTTGGGTCATCCCTGCAAGCCCCTGCTCATCTCCAGGCAGGTGGCACTGTCAGGACCAAAAACATCCCCAACACACACACTGAGCGAGTCTCTCCTCTTCTGGGGATGCCTGGTTGTGCGACTTCCAGAGTGGAACCCGAGTCCTGAGCTCTGGAGTGCAGAATCAGCCTGTGTCTCTTTCTTCCTGAGGCTGGGCCCAGCTGGTTGCCGAGTTCAAGGAAGCTCCGCTCCCCGCTTCCTGCTCGCGCTAAGGGCTGGGCTTCCGCAGGCTCTGTGGAGGGATGGCTCACTGCTTCCTGTGGGGCCGGTGCAGCTGAGTGCCTTGGCCCCCACACCCAGGCTGGGGTGCTGTTAGGAACCCCCAGGCTGTTGTCAGATTCTGGGGAGAGGTCGAAGCCAGGCCAGTGTTAGAGGTCCACCCTGCTGGCCTCCGTGTCCTTGTCTGGTTTTATGGCACCGAGGTCAAAAGGGCAGGTGGGTTGGACCTGGGACATCAGGCCCAGTGCCCAGTGCTGGCTACCAGCAGGTGTCCTTGGAGCAGAGAAACCCTGGCATGTGCTGCCTCTGGACATGGGTAGGTACCCATTCCTCTGCTGAGTGAGATGGACAGGGTGCCCCTGTCGGGGTCACTGGGGGGATTTTCACGGTGACTGTCTCTGTAGGAGGAGTTACCCATTCCCCTGAGATGGGACACCCTGAAGATTTTCCTGGCCGGGGCTCAGGCTCTGTGAGCCATCCCTGGGGAGGAAGGGGTAGCCCCACATGCTTGTCCCTTAGCATTCAAAGGGAGACAGCCAGCACTTCGCCCTGGCCTGTGAAGAGACAGGGAAAGCCTCCCGGGAGGCGGTGTGTTGGTATGCCTGAGAGCCCAGGCGGAGACTGGGGGAGCTCCTGGAGGGGGTGGGGGCGCGGCCTGGAGTCTGGTGTCTGACCTGGCCTCTGTGCTTCTCATATGGGGCTGTGTGATGCAGCGCTGACTGTCAGACCTGGAGACATGGTGCAAAGCGGGGCTGGGGGGTGAAGGACTGGGTGTCCAGGCAGCAGGATTGCGGACAGGACGCCAGCGCAGGGGTCGGGTGGTGGAGCACCCTGAGTGCGTGGAGCAGCTGGGCAAGACTGTGAGGCAGAGGGTGATGGGGTGGGTGACACAGGGCCAGAGTGAGGGGCTGCTTCGCGTGGCTGCTAGAGGTCTTGGGAAGGGAGGACGCAAGGGTGTGAGGTGAGCATGGCTGGGTGCTATTGCTTACAACCGTGTAGAGGGGAAATTGAGGCAGGGCAGAAGGCAGGTTACCTGGGGTAGGGCCACTGAGAGCTGCTGGAGCCAGCACCAGGGCTATGTCTGAGTCACAGTTGAGTCCTTGAGCTCTCAAGTCACATCCCTTGTCCTTGAAGGACTGGTCACCAGGACTTGTACTGGATGTTCGAGCATCCAGCTGATGTCTGCAGACTGCTTGTGGAGGAGTCTGTTGGGGGCCCGAGGGACGCCCTGGGACTGTGCCCTCTCACCTGCAACTGCAGGCCACGGAAATGTGTCCACAGGAAGTTCTGGCCACCCCCTGGCTTGGTATCACTCAGCACCCTCAGGTGTTGCTGGTGGCCAGTGCCATCCTTTGCTCTGGTGCATGTCCAAGGCATACCTCCTCCTGGCCTGGAGGGTAGAGTGCAGCTACCAGGCTCCCAAAGAAGGCCTGGATGACCCCATGCTCCATCTCACACTGGCCTCACTTGCCCAGAAGGCTGAGCAAAGGGACCGAGCTCAGCTCTGCTGCCAGCTCCTTGGGACAGGCTCCTGCCATGTTCTTAGTTCTAGGTACCTCACCATCCACAGCTGGGTGGCTCCTGTCTCTTGTCCTGTCTCAATCATCCGCTGTCCTGAGGTCTCATATTTGTGAGGTCTCAGGCTGCAAGAGATGGAAACTCAGTTCCTGTTGGCCCAGGAAGCGATTTCGCAGCTCCCAGCTGAGGAGCTTGTTGGGGCTCAGCCCAGCATTGGGTGTGGTGGGGTCCAGGCTTTCAGCAGCAAGCGCAGCCCCGGGCTGTTCAGATCATAGCTGCTGTGGTGGCCGGGGGCTGAGCTGTGTGCTAACCAGCCCTGTGCCCAGCCGCTGAGTGGATGGCAGGCGGGCGGTGAGCACCCGAGGGCGGGATGGGGTTCCGGGTTCCGGGATCTTCTCGCTGTATGCTTACTGCACCCTGCACCTCTGGTCACTGTCACCAGGCTGGGTGGGCCTGTGCTCTGGCAGACCCTCCCCGGAGAGCCTACAGCTTGGTGTGGTGGGCGTGTGGAGTGTTAGTGCGGTCATGCTGCAACCTGGCTGAGTGCCACTGGCTCCCTGGCACCCATCTTTTCCCCAAGGACATCCTGCTGTGCTGGCAGGCCCTGTGAGTGGGGTGGGCCACCTGTGGACACGCGTCCTGCCAGGCAGGGCAGTCTCCCCACAGTGCGTGCACAGAGCTGGGGGTGGGGAGGGTGTCCTGGGCACTCAGTGCTGAACAGCGTCCCTGGCCCCCACCTGCTCCATGCCAGGAGTAGCTCCGGTTGTGACAATCACCAGTGTCCCCACATAGTGCAGTGCCCCTGAGGGCAGAGTCATCCTAAGAGTGGCTGCTGTCCCATTTTACAGATGAGGAAGCCACGTGTCCCAGGCAGAGCAACCTGGCCCTGCCATGGATGCCCGGCCCACTAAGGTGTTCAGCTGTGTCCTGGGCACCTCTGCAGGCCCTGCAGAGGTGGCGCTGTTTTTAGCTGGTGAGATCAGGGGCTTTGAGGACACCTCAGGACAGAATGTAAGGCAGGACACTGAGTGAGGCTGAGGTGGGAACGTGGGCTTGGTGCTGTGGGATGGCGGAGATGGTGCCGATGGCCCTTTCCCACCTGGGGGCTACAGAAGAGAGGAAGGGCCCAGCCCCCAGGCCTCCCTGTACCCCAAGGCCAGGCAGCCTTTCCTGGCTGGAGAGCCTGTCAGGACACAGGACAGGGGTCTCCCAGAGTCCTCCCTTGCTCTGTCTGCCTGGGGCTCAGCCCCCACTGACTGCTTTGTCTCCCCAGGCCCTGTTCGTACTCTTTGTGCTGGCCTATATCCACATCGTCTTCTCACGCTCGCCTGTCAACTGCCTGGAGCACGTGCGGGACAAGTGGCCACGCGAGGGTGTGCTGCGCGTGGAGGTGCGGCACAACTCCAGCCGCGCACCGGTCTTCCTGCAGTTCTGTGACAGCAGCACCCAGGCTGGCTTCCCTGGCCTGGCTGTAGAGCCCAGCAGCTTAGAGCTGGAAGAGGAGGAGGAGGAGGAGGAGCTGACCATGGAGATGTTTGGGAACAGCTCAGTCAAGGTGAGCCGAGTCTGGAGGCCCAAGGTGTGGCCCTTGGTGGCCTCACCTGGTGGAGGCCGATCTCGAGAGGAGAGCTGAGCACCTGCGAGGGGACTGGGTCCGGGGCTTTCCCTGATGTCACCTAGAGATGGGCCAGGGCATGGCTGCGGGGGGCTGTGCAGTCTCAGGCACTAGTGGGCCCCTCTGCTTTGGGGTCCTGGCCCTGCCCCCATCCCCAGCTGGTGGCCACCTGTGGTGATGGGCTTGGTGTTAGGCGGGGTCCTGACCAAGGCAGGAGGCCCAGGAGTTGGCTTAGAGGTGACAGATATCCTAGCAGCTCCAGGACCCCGTCCCCCAGGCCTGGCTGAGTACCCCTGGGCAAGCTGATGCCTTGTCCCTGGTCGCCCGCAGTTTGAGCTGGATATAGAGCCCAAGGTGTTCAAGCCACCCACTGGCACTGAGGCCCTGAATGACAGCCAAGAGTTCCCCTTCCCTGAGACACCCAGCAAAGGTACGGGGGTGCCCAGCTGTGCAGGGGGGGTGCTGAGCACCTCCCAGTCCCCCTGATCAGCCTGTCCCCACAGTGTGGCCGCAGGACGAGTACATTGTGGAGTACTCTCTGGAGTACGGCTTTCTGCGGCTGTCACAGGCCACACGACAGCGCCTCAGCATCCCTGTCATGGTGGTCACTCTGGGTGAGCCTGGCGCCCTCCAAGGGACTCCTACCGCTGTCGGTGGGTGGGGGGGCAAGCCCCCAGCTGCCCTCCCTGACTTCTGCACCTGCCCTACAGACCCCACACGGGACCAGTGCTTCGGAGACCGCTTCAGCCGCTTGCTGCTGGATGAGTTCCTGGGCTATGATGACATCCTTATGTCCAGCGTGAAAGGCCTGGCTGAGAACGAGGAGAACAAGGGTGGGGCCCGGTCTGGCCCGTAGCAATGGGGTCCAGGGCTCTGGGGGTCGGTGGTCAGGGTCGGGGCACCGCTCACCACCTCCCCTACAGGCTTCCTGCGGAACGTGGTGTCGGGGGAGCACTACCGCTTCGTTAGCATGTGGATGGCGCGCACGTCCTACCTGGCTGCCTTCGTCATCATGGTCATCTTCGTGAGTGCCTTGCTGGGGGCAGGGTGGGCTGGAGCGGGGCTCCCGTGGGCACCCCTGACCGTCACCTCTCGGCCACCCGCCCCCTGCAGACCCTCAGCGTGTCCATGCTGCTGCGCTACTCGCACCACCAGATCTTCGTCTTCATCGGTGAGTCCCGGCTGGCTGTGGGGGTGTGGGGTGGGCTGGCACCCGGGCTCTCACAGGTGGCCCCGTGTCCTGTGCCCGCAGTGGACCTGCTGCAGATGCTGGAGATGAACATGGCCATCGCCTTCCCTGCAGCGCCCCTGCTCACCGTCATCCTGGCCCTTGTTGGTGAGGACTCTGCCCGCCTCCCTCACCCACACCCCACTCTGCCTCCTCTCCAACACAGCCCTGTGTCCCCACAGGGATGGAAGCCATCATGTCCGAGTTCTTCAATGACACCACCACGGCCTTCTACATCATCCTGATTGTATGGCTGGCTGACCAGTACGACGCCATCTGCTGCCACACGAACACCAGCAAGCGCCACTGGCTGAGGTGAGCTGGCGGGTGGTGGCTCAGGGTCAGTACGAGGACCCAGGTCGGGTACAGCTGGGTTTCACATTCGTGCCCTGCCTGCAGGTTCTTCTATCTGTACCACTTCGCCTTCTATGCCTACCACTATCGCTTCAACGGGCAGTACAGCAGTCTGGCCCTGGTCACCTCCTGGCTCTTCATCCAGGTGAGGCCCTGGGGGGCCTTAGGTCGTCAGCTGGTGGTAAAAGGGGAGCCAGAGATCATGAGAAAGGCCCAGAGGAGGGTGGGAAGCCCTTTGAGAAGGACCGAGATTCCCGGTGACCTGGGCAGCTTGAAGTGTCCCTGGTACTGAGCGGCGGAGTGGCCAGAGTCTGGCAAGCTTTGGGTGCGGGCAGCCTCCCTGGTTCAGGAATGCGCGGCACTGCGGCCCCGGGTGTGGGCGGCCCCTCATTTCAGCTCTGCACCCAGCTCCTGGGCAGAGCAGGGGCGGGGCCTGCCTTTCTGGTTCTGGGCTCCCTGGCCTGCCTAACTCCCTCGCTCCGGTCTCCCCCACCCCCAGCATTCCATGATCTACTTCTTCCACCACTACGAGCTTCCTGCTATCCTGCAGCAGATCCGCATCCAGGAGATGCTGCTGCAGACCCCGCCGCTGGGCCCTGGAACCCCCACGGTGCTACCAGATGACCTGAACAACAATTCGGGCACCCCTGCCACCTCCTCTGACCCTGCCGGCCAGCCCCTTGCCCTGGGTCCTGGCACAGCTGGAGCCGGTGGGGCACCTGGTCCTGGGCCTGTTGTACCCAGCACCTTGGGGACCATGGCTGCCTCAGTGGCTGCAGCGGCTGGGGGTGACCTGGGCTGGATGGCCGAGACTGCCGCCATCATCACTGACGCCTCCTTCCTGTCTAGCCTGGGCGCCTCACTCTTGGAGCGGCGACCTGCCGGACCCTTGAGCCCCAGTGGGGGCCTTCCCCGCACCCCCCAGGACAGTGCCCCCCAGAGCGACTCCTTGGCACCCGACACAACCTCCCCAGTAGCCACCGGAGGTGGGCCCGCCCCCGCACCCAGGACCCCAGCTGACTTGCCCTCTGAGGTTGGGTCCTGAGCTTGGCTGCTGCCACCTGTCCCCGGTCCCAGCTGGCGGGCGTGACCTCATGGTGGGAAGGCAGTCCCCGATGTGGCCGGGCCCTCCCCCCTCCCCGACTGCCCGCCTGTGCAGTGGCGGTGGCCGTGACGTCAGTCAGGTTTGGGAGGGCCGGCCTCCCCTGGTGCGCCGGCCAAGCGTGTCCTGTTAGAAAGTTGTGTGTGGCGGTCTGCAGGGAGAGGGAGCGGCGCCGAAGGCTCTAGAGGGGCTTGGTGGGACGTGGGCACCGTCCTGGGGCAGGGCTCAGCCACAGGTGACAGGTGGGGGGGGAGCGGCTGTGTTGGGCCATGGGGCTCAGCCAGCCCGGCTGCCAGGTGCTCCCCACGCAGTGCCTTCTCCTCGGCCGCCCCTTCCTGTGCCCTACAGCTTGGGGTCCCCAGGCGTGGCGCTGTGCCGCGGATCCGGCAAGGGCCCAGGTACCAGTGTCATAAGCCAGGCGCGCAGGGTGGCAGCGGGAACCAGGCGCTCGGTGAGGATGGGAGCGCGTTCATTCCACTCTATTTAATTGCAGTGTACAGAGTTGTGTTTGTATATGGAATAAACTGTCCATGGACAGCGTCTGGTCTGCTCCTGCGCACGGGCGGGGTGGCATTCACCGCGCGTCCTCGGGGACCGTTGCGGCCTGGAGCAGTCGCAGTGGCCTGTGGCCGGCACCATCCCTGAGCTGGGCCCTGAGCTCGCCGCGCCGCAGGAGGGCCTGGCGCAGCCGCTCGCGCACAGTCTCGATGTGCCGCTCCAGCTCTTCCAGCTCTCCAGGCCGCGGCGTGGGCGACCCTCCATTGGGGCACAGCCAGACGGGGCCCTCGGGCGGCCCGGGCTCCCTGTCCTGGGCCGCAGCCACTGCTGGCTCCAGCAGGAAGCGCACACGACGGCGCTCGGTGCCCACAGCCCGGCGCACGCGTTTCCAGCGCCTGGGGCTTTTGGGGTCAGCCATTGTGGCCTGCCGCTGCTCCCCTGGGCCACTGAGGACGGGGGACTGAGCTAGGCAAGGTCCCAAGGCACCTACTCCTCACCCCATTTCTGCCCAGGTCCTTTTGGAGGACTGGAGTGCGTCAAGGACCTCCCCGAGTCCCCACTCACCTGGACTCCACCTCCAGCTTCTGCACCGGAAGTCGCTCCGTGTTGAGCGCGCGGTGGATTTTCTAGATCCCAGACAGCCCCGGGTTGGTGGCGCGCAGCGACGGCAACATTGCCCTGCCCGCGCCCCCAGCACCCCCACAGCCGCCCACCTGGCTGGTGTGCAGCCAGTACTGCAGACGGTTGCCCCTGCGGATGCGCGGCAGCACCAGGTGATAGAAGACGTGCTCGCCCAGCGAGCTGAGCACAGCGCTGCCAAGGCCCAGGCAGAGCAGCAGAAAGAGGCCAGAGAAGTGGTAGATGCCCATCTGGAGAGTCTAGGGGGGCACAGAAGACAGGGGCTGTGCACCACGCGGGGAGGCGGGGGCCCCGGGCTGGGCTGGACCCGCGGTATCCTGGAGGGGGCGCTGGAGCTGCGGTTTTGTAGGACGAGTAGTGCTCACAAAGGCAGAGCAGTGACCATTTTGGGAATGACACGAAGTTGGGCGCCTCAGACAAGGCTCCGGGGCCCCCATGCCTGCCACCAGCCCTGTGCCCAGGGCCCTGGCCCACCTCTGTAACCGCGAAGACCCGCTTCCCGCAAGGCACCATCTTGTACCACTTGTCGTGCAGCAGGTCGATGAAGCCCGAGGACTTGTAGCGGCTGATGAACTCGGACAGGTTGGAGGTGAGGGGTGAGTTTTGGGGCAGTCCGATGCCGTAGCCTGAGGGAGGCCAGGGCCGCGGGATGAGACATGGGGTTGGGGGAGCCTCGCACCTGCCCAGGCCGCCTCGCGCCCCCTCAGGCTCCCTCACCCTCAATGGCGAAGGGCTTGCCCACCGTCAGCAGCTTGCAGTCGGGGTCGATGGACACCTCGTAGTCCAGGAGTGACTTGTCCATGATGAAGGCGTTGAGCTTTGGGGGGTCGCTCCTGCAGGATCCCCGAAGGGTGAGTGGTGGACGAGGCCCCGCCCCGAGGCCCCGCCCCGAGGCTCCACCCAGGCTCACGTGAGCATGGCGACTCCCCCTGGCGTGGTGGGCGCGCTGTGGCGCCGCATGTGCGCGTGCATCTCGGGGAAGCTGGCCTTTATGTAGGCCTCGGCGCTGCTCTCCCATACCGTGCCAAAGCGGAAGCCCTGCGGCGGTTGGTGCAGCTGTAGAGGGCGCGGGGGATGCCTTCAGTTGGAGTCAGGACATCACCAACACCCCCCCCCCACACACACACACACACGGGCTTGTGCCCCAGCGTCACAGCCACCCAGTCCCCAGGCCCTGGCCCTGTCCTGAACACTTGCGTGTACATCTCACCACCTTTGCGTGTACATCTCACCACCTCGCCATCTCCCCTGGGCTCCCTGAGGGTGCCCTGAGAGCCCCCAAACACACACCATTCAGACCACCCCTGCATCCCGGGGCAGCCCAACGTCCTGACACCAAGCGCGATCCCCAGTTTGATCCGATCCCCAGTTTGAGCTGCCGCCATATACCCCTGCACCCCTCCCACCCTCTGGCTCAGGCATCCACCATGCTGAAGCAGCCGAGTCGCCCTGCCCTGGTTTCCCTCTGCTGACCCCTGGCCTCTTCTCCAGGAAGCCAAGGAATGAGATTTGTGCTAAAAGTAAAAGTCCCCATCCAGCTGGGCATGGTGGCACATGCCTGTAATCCCAGCACTCAGGAGGCTGAGGTAGAAGGACTGTTGCAAGTCTAAGACCAGCCTGGGCCACAGTGAGCTCAAGGCCAGCCTGAACTGCACAAGGAGACCGTCTCAAAAAAGACAAAAAAAAATTACTGGGTGTGGTAGCGCACATCTGTAATCCCAGCACTTGGGAGGCTGAGGCAAGAGGATTGATGCAAGTTTGAGGCTAGCCTGGGCTACAAAGTGAGTTGAAGACCAGCCTGAACAACATAGTGAAACCCTGTCTCAAAAAGACAAAACAGGGCTAGGGATATAGCTCAGTGGTATGTGTCTGCCTGGCAAGCCCAAGGTCCTGAGTTTGATTCCCAGTACCAAAAAGAAAAAAAAAAAAAAAAAGACAAAAGTCTCCATCTGGCCAGATGTGATGTCCCAGGCCTGTCATGCCGGTGCTCTGGAAGGCTGAGACAGGAAGATCACAAGCCAGCCTGGGCAATTTAACAACTTGTGAGATCCTGTCTCAAAATTTTAAAATAAAAAGGTCTGAGGATGTAGCTCAGGGGTAGAGCATCCCTGGGTTCCATCCCTAGTAGCACAAAAGTACAAACATGGCACATGCCTGTCATCCCAACACTGGGGAGGCTGAGGCAGGAGAATCACTGTGAGTCTCAGGCCGATCTGGGCTAAATAGTGAGTTCAAGACCAGTCTGAAGTACATAGTACAACCTTGTTTCAAAAAAAAGAGCTGGGCATGGTGGCACAGCTATACTCCTGGCATTGGACAGGCTGAGACAGGAGGATCACTGTGAGTTCAAGCCAGCCTGGGCACATAGTGGGACCCTGTCTCGAAGAAACAGCAAAGGAAAAGAAAAAAGAAACATCCTACAGCAGTACCTCAATGCCACAGACTTCAGATTTAAACAGACTGCTGGGGTGGGGGACAACAGGAAAACAGGGCCCTGATGAAGTTCCCCCGGAACAGTCACAGGTGAGACCACAGAGTCTGGGACTTATTTCAAAATAACTCACTGGTACTCACTTTGGCAAAACGTATACAAAACAATGTGCTGGTGGGTGCAGGCACAATGTGCAGGTAGTTAGGGGTTGACTTGGGAGCTTTGCAAAGCATCATGGGGTTCACTGGGCAGATTCTAGAGTATTTGAAATTGTCATTAAAAAGAAAATCTGTGTTTGGTTCACTTGTCACCTCAAGAACTGGGAGGCTGAGGCAGGAGGATCACAAATTCAAACATGGCCTGGACAACGTAGCAAGACCCTGTCTCAAAATAAAAAATAAAAAGGGCTGGGCATAGTGCGGAATACCTATAGTCCCAGCACTCTGGAGGCTGAGGCAGGGGGATTGTCACAAGTTTCAAGGCCAACCTGTACTACAGAGTGAGACCCTATCTTAAACAAACAAAGGCTAAGGATGTTGTGTGCAGAGGCCTTGGGTTCCAGCCCTATTAGCGGAAAAATAAAAAAGTAGACCAGGGCTCATCCCTCCTCTGCCCTCAGCCCTGCATGGCTCCCACCTACCTTGGGGTCAAAGCCCGAGTGCTCCCCGCAGCCCATAGGGCCCTGTAGAACCAGTCCTATCACTTCCCCACCTCCTCTCCTTCTGTGCCCCTTGATTCCTCTACTCCAGCCACAAGGGCTGCTTGCTGCTCCTGTTCCGCACCAGGCTCTATCCTCTCCCAGGGGCTTTGCACAGCTGTGCCTCTGCCTTGCTCCAGACACCCACATGCCCATTTTGTGAAGTATTGTGGGGGGGTCAAGGAGACCTATGTGAGTGACTTTTTTCTAGTTTTAGGTCTTTGTTTTTTTTTTTTTTTTTTTTTGAGACAGGGTCTCCACATGTAACCTGTGCTGGCCTTGAACTCTAGGTGATCCTCCTGCCTCAGCCTCCTGAGTGCTGGAATAACACAGGCTGTCCACAGAGTGGGACACACGCTAGGCGCAGGGTGTGGTCCAGGGGCAGAGTGCTGGCTTAGCTTGCCTCACGCCTTGACCACCCCCGGTGCAGCCCGTGCCCTCCAGCCCGCCCACCTTGGGGTCGTGGATGCCTGACAGCTCCTCGAACGTCTTGTCCCCGACCATGACGGCGGCCAGATTGGCCGTGTAGCTGGACAGCACGAGCAGGCAGAAGATGGCCCAGAGGTTCATGAGGAAGCGCCCAGTGGGGCACTTGGGAGTCTTGCTGGACACGGTGCGGCCGAAGAGGATGGCATAGCAGAGATTGAGCGCCGAGGAGTAGGAGAAGACCGTGCTGCGGTTGCGGCCGCGCGGCGTGAGGCCGTAGGGGCTGCGCCATTCGTACAGGGTGAGGAAGAGTGCGGTGAGGTGCAGGGCCGCGAAGACGCCCAGCCACATGGTCCAGTGCAGCGGCCACATGAAGGCGCCGATGGGCGAGGCCGTATCGCGCATGCGCACCATGATGCCCAGGCTGGTGGAGAAGAAGGGGCTTGTGAAGTCCACCACGCGGGAGCGCGCGGAGTTGATGCTGAAGCTGGTGACCGCCATGTGCGCCGTGCCGGCCAGCAGGTCGCCCACCAGCCCGGTCCAGCGGCCGTCCCGCAGGGCGCCATATTTGCCGTCACCTACGATGTACAGCTCGAAGTCAAAGGGCGTATCCTCGGCCAGCCGCTCCAGCAGGTCCATGCAGTAGCCGTAGCAGCACTTGCGCAGGGCGCGCGGTGCTGAGCCATTGGCCAGTGCGGCGAACAGTGTGTCCAGTGTCGCCGAGTTGTTGGTACCTGGGTCCAGGCACAGATGCCCGGCTGGGCACTGCCCGTCTTCATCAGGCTCCCGGGCAAACACAAATGGGTGCTCTATCAGCGTCACTACGCGAAGCTTGGACCGGGCCCGGGTGCCTGGCGGGGGCAGGGGGCGCGCAGCCACCACGCCTGGCTCCAGGTCCAGACGCCCATCCCGCCAGTTGCCCACAGTGGCCCAGGCCGGGACGCCCATCGGGTCCTGGCGTAGACTCCACACCCTGAACCGCCGTGACATGTGCACTTGCGAGGTGGCCGTCACCCACACTGGCCCCGTGAGGCCCTGGAAGGATGTGTTGGCCAGGAACCTGGGGTGAGTGGGCAGGGTCACACTGGCATCTCAAACTGGGCATCCTGGTCCCCACAGTGGGGACCACAGTTCTCCATCCCCTCTCTCGCCTGTATGGGGGTGGTCAGTGGGCCACCAATCTCCATGGACTGAAGACTATCTACACAGGGGCAGTCACACTGAGAGGACACTGACTGGCCCTGACTTTTTCTTTTTGAGACAGTGTCTCACCTTGTAGTTCAGGCTGGCCTTGAACCCACTATGTAGCCCCAGGCTAGCTCAGAGCGATCCTTCTGCCTCAGCCTCCTGAGTGCTGGGATTACAAGCTTGCACCACCACAGCCAGCATGATCTTTTATTTTGAAACAGGGTCTCGCTAAATCACTCAGTTGCCCAGGCTGGCCTCAAACTTGCAATCCTCCTGTGTAGCCTCCCAAGGAGCTGGGATGATAATGTGGTGACACCTGGCCCTCATGTTGCTTTTTGTGACCCAAGGGCAGAGATGGCTGGATAATGGGGGTCTGGATGCCCTCCCAGGCAGACCTGTACTCACCTTGCCAACAAGCGCCCCCGGGACTCTGGTCCTGCCAGCTGGGGGTTGTCACAGCTGATGGCAGTCGGGAGCAGGGCACGTTCTGGCTGCACTTGGGCAGCACTGCCCATTGCCTGGGCCACCAGCTCCACAGCGTCGTGGATGGTGGCCTCCAGCGGAGGCCGGGCCACCTCACCCAGTGCCAGCAGCCCGAGTGGCAGACTGGCTGTGGCTGTGGGCAGTGCTTCTGGGGACAGCGGTGTGCCCAGGAGCCAGCGGGGACCGGGTGGCGCAGCCTTCAGCACCTGGCTGGCATGGACAGCATCACAGCCCAAGAGGACGACCGTGGAGGCCGGCGTGTCCCCTCCCATGGGTGTCCCCAAAGCGGCCAGGCGTGCCCCCAGCCCTGTGTCCCTAGCGTCTGGCCGGCTCAGGTCTAGCACGAGCCTTGGGGCCCGGCCAGCCCGGCTTGTCCACAGGGCCACCAGGCTGCTGGGGTCACGGATGCGGCACAGTGCCAGGCCCACGTCCTCCCAGGCATGTGCCTGCAGCACGGCCGCCAGCACATCCAGCAGTGTCTCCAGGGGGCTGGCCCAGTCCAGCTGCAGGTGGAACGGCGTCTGGGAAGCAGGTGGGCACAGTTAGGGTCGGTGACCTCCACCCAAACCCAGATCCTCTGCCCTTCCCCTGTGGAGACTTCCCCACCCTCCAGGCAGAATCCCAGCCCCCCTTCTGAACGCCCGGCCTTGGGCCACTCCCTCCGTCCCAGTCTTGATCCTGCCCAGCCCCCTCCTGCCTGGGAGCCCTCCAGGGCTGAGGGTCACCGCTGCGAGAGGACAGCCCGAATGCTGCCCTCAAGCGCACAGCAATCCTGAGCACTTCTGGAGGACTCTTCCTGCCAGGCCAGCAAGGCTGGGGGCCCCTCTGCCCAGCGCGCAGGGACCTGCTCTCAGCAAGGGGACGGTTTATCCAATACTCAAGTGGACAGAGTGTTGCTCCTGGGTGGGGACATGCCGGGAGGTTGAGGGCGGGTGATGCAGCTCTGTCTCAGGCAGGGGTCCCAGGCCCCTCTCAGGGAGAGGCTGCAGAGTCCCAAGCCCAGGCAACGCAGCCCAGTGCAATGCAGTTCCCGTGGTTAGCTGCAGAGGGCGCCATAGGCCAGGGTTTGGGTCCCCTATCATTTCCCCAGACCCCAGGTGGTGGTTGGGGGAGGCGACAGAGGATCCCAGGACTCTGCCCGTGAGCGAGGGGCCGTGGAAAGAAGGGAAGTGGGTGGGGCTTGGAGTAAGGGGGCCTCAGCCCCCCGAATGAGCCGGGCAGTGGATCTCTCCTTTTTGGCCTTGGTTGGGGTATCTGTCTTGGGGCTAGTGTCCCTGTTGGGGTCCTGCCTTCCTGTTCCCAAATCTGGGCCTGGGGTGGGGTCCTGAAGTGATTTATTCCCAGGACACGCAGAGGAGGCAAATGGAGGTGTGGGAATGGCAGTTCGCCCTGGGGACCCAAGGGGCCCTCGAGGCTGTAGGGTAGGAGAATCATCAGGGAGGGGCCCTAGAAGGCCTAGAGAGGCCGGGACCCGCTCAGCCGCAAACTGCACCCTCTGGAGAGGAGGGGGACCTTTCTGCCTTCCCACACAAGGGCAGGACCTGGGGGGCGGGCTGGGGACCGCACGGAAGACCCGGGAGTGCCCACAGCGGCGCGCACAGGCACCCCCTGGGGTCCTCGGGTGCATTGGATGCGCGCATCCTGGGCACCCCGGGCCCGGGCGCCTGGGTCCGCACTTCTGCGCCTGCCCGGGGGCACCCGGCGTCCGGCGAATCGGGTCCCTCGCACCCCGAGGGAGCCCCGGAACCTCCCGCAACCCCGGGCCCCGTCCCCGCGCGTCCTGGGCGCGCC